TGCACTGAGCCAGAGCGACGCCAACGTTCCCCTTAAAAGCCAAGACAAGATTCGTCAGAAGGACAAGAGGAATAAACAGATCATCACCTGAAGTGCTGCTTTTTCTGCCTAATCCACACGTCTTTGTCTCCTATTAGAAATCCTGGATAAATGCTCCTTATTTTCTATCCAGTGTTTAGCTTTTCGCTCCTTTTTATATATGTGCATCTGATAGCTCTCTATGTATTTTTTTTGTAAATAAAATGGGTCAAACTCTAATCGCTGGAAGGTTTGTCTTTTTTTGTGTGGGTAAACCGGAAGTATTAAGGAAAAGAAACTGATGGGACCAAAAAACATCCAAACTTTATGTTGAGGTTTGGGTGAAATCGTTCAAAATGGGCAGAGTAGCCAGAACTGTTACTCAAGTACTTTGTTTTCACTCAATAAAAAGTACAAATTAGATAATTCTACTCCTACAAGTACATAATTTAAAAAAAAGTTACACAAGCAAGTAACAGAGTACATGTAAATAGTTTCCACCCTCCTCTGAGTAATAAAAGTATAACTACTCTACCCAGTTGTAGTAACTTAACTGAACAAAGAAAAATCAAATTTTAACCTGAAATATCTCTGAAGCAGCGTGTTTCACTAAAGTTGGATTTTTTTTTTTTCTTGGTAAACAGCTTTTTGTTGTAATTTTATTTTTTATATATTTTGGGAAACCAAAAGATTTGAAAGTGTTTCTTCTGCCTCAGTGTATTTTCCAATTATTTTTTTATTCATATTTTAGTCTAGTATATAAAACACTAGAATTCACACATACGGTAAATTCGTATTTGGCAGTAATTTCTTACATCACAGATGCGTTGATCAGTTGCTCAGCATTTGATTAATACTTCTACAATCTGGAATATTTTCTTGGTCTCCTGCTTTTAACTTTTACTTGAATAAAAATATGTTAAGGTAGTGCAGCTCTTACTTAAAGGTATAGTTGAGGATTTTTGAAAAGACCTGCCGTCTCCACTTAAAAAAACTGCAAATGCACAACCCTGTACCCGCACCCGAGAGTAGGACAGCCTTACATAAACATATCACCAGAATGATTGACAATTAGAAGGACCAATTATTAGAACATCCCCATTATACCTTAAGGTACACTTTATTTAACCTCTGGTTATAAAACAGTGCTGTAGAATTCTAGGTTTCATCTGTGCATAGAGTTATTAGAGTCGGTAAACCTTTTTTTTTTTTATAACAAATATTTTTCAGATATTTCAAGTGTTTAAAACTTCCAACTGAAACATCAGAGCAGAATCTCAGCTCAGTTTGTGGCTCAAACCAGAAATCCCTTTGACTCCTGCTAGCAGCTCTACAGCCAACATCATTATACAGGTGCTGGTCATAAAATTAGAATATCATGAAAAAGTAGATTGATTTCAGTAATTCCATTTAAAAAGTGAAACTTGTATATTATATTCATACATTACATACAAACTCATATATTTCAGATGTTTATTTTGTTTAATTTTGATGATTACAAATGACAACAAATGAAAATCTCAAATTCATCATATCAGAAAATTAGAATATTACTGAAGACCAATAAAAACAAAGGATTTATAGAAATGTTGGCCAACTGAAAAGTATGAACATGAAAAGTATGAGCATGTACAGCACTCAGTATTTAGTTGGGCCTCCTTTGGCCTGTATTACTGCAGCAATGCGGCGTGGCATGGAGTCGATCAGTCTGTGGCACTGCTCAGGTGTTATGATAGCCCCGGTTGCTCTAATAGTGGCTTTTAGCTCTTCTGAATTGTTGGGTCTGGTGTATTGCATCTTCTTCTTCACAATACCCCATAGATTTTCTATGGGGTTAAGGTCAGGAGAGTTTGCTGGCCAATTAAGAACAGGGATACCATGGTCCTTCAACCAGGTACTGGTAGCTTTGGCACTGTGTGCAGGTGCCAAGTCCTGTTGGAAAATGAAATCTGCATCTCCAAAAAGTTGGTCAGCTGCAGGAAGCATGAAGTGCTCTAAAACTTCCTGGTATGTGGCTGCGTTGACCCTGGACCTCAGAAAACACAATGGACCAACACCAGCAGATGACATGGCACCCCAAACCATCACTGACTGTGGAAACTTTACACTGGACTTCAAGCAACGTGGATGAAGTGCCTCTCTTCTTTTCCTCCAGACTCTGGGACCTTGATTTCCAAAGGAAATGCAAAATTTACTTTCATCAGAGAACATGACTTTGGACCACTCACCAGCAGTCCAGTCCTGTTTCTCTTTAGCCCAGGCAAGACGCTTCTGACGCTGTCTGTGGTTCAAGAGTGGCTTGACACAAGGAATGCGACAGCAGAAACCCATGTCTTTCATACGTCTGTGTGTGGTGGTTCTTGAAGCACTCACTCCAGCTGCAGTCCACTCTTTGTGAATCTCCCCCACATTTTTGAATGGGTTTTGTTTCACAATCCTCTCCAGGGTGCGGTTATCTCTCTTGCTTGTACACTTTTTTCGACCACATCTTTTCCTTCCCTTCGCCTCTCTATTAATGTGCTTGGACACTGAGCTCTGTGAACAGCCAGCCTCTTTAGCGATGACCTTTTGTGTCTTGCCCTCCTTGTGCAAGGTGTCGATGGTCGTCTTTTGGACAACTGTCAAGTCAGCAGTCTTCCCCATGATTGTGTAGCCTATAGAACTAGACTGAAAGACCATTTAAAGGCTTTTGCAGGTGGTTTGAGTTAATTAGCTGATTAGAGTGTGGCACCAGGGGCCATCAATTTTGAACCTTTTCACAATATTCTAATTTTCTGATATGATGAATTTGAGATTTTCATTTGTTGTCATTTGTAATCATCAAAATTAAACAAAATAAACATCTGAAATATATGAGTTTGTATGTAATGTATGAATATAATATACAAGTTTCACTTTTTAAATTGAATTACTGAAATCAATCTACTTTTTCATGATATTCTAATTTTATGACCAGCACCTGTAGTTGCAGCACTATAGAGCAGTGTTTTTCAACCCTGATCCTCAAGGCACACTGCTCTGCATGTTTTGGATGTTTCTGAGCTTCAGCACACCTGATTCAGATGATTGCAGTTCAGCAAAGCCTGATAATCTATCAATTGATAACAGGTGTGTGGAAGCTGGGAAACATCTAGAACAGGCATCCCCAAACTCGGTCCTCAAGGCCCCCTGTCCTGCAGGTTTTAGAGGTTTCCTTGCTCCAGCACAGCTGATTTTAATTGAAAGCTGATTAACAGGCTTTTGGTCTACTGCAATCATTATAACCAGCTGTGCTGAAGCAGAGAAACCTCTAAAACCTGCAGGACAGTGGGCCTTGAGGACCGAGTTTGGGGATGCCTGATCTAGAACATGCAGGGCAGTGTGCCTTGAGGACCAGGGTTGAAAAACACTGCTATAGACTCTAGTGAAATGTGTCCTTCAAGTTGATCCCATCAGCCTTTGGGGAATATTCTGAGGCTAATCTTCTTGCTCAGGGACTAACTATGGAAGGCTGTGGGATTTCAAACAGGGAACTTGTTAACCACTAGCCTCCAACTAGTCAAACAAGGACACTGTCAAAAATGTTGTGAGTTTATTTGATTTGTAGTTACTGAAAAAGATGCCAGGTTGGATAGATGCAGGGGAAGCTGAAGTTCAGACAAGATGTCTACAGTTTAATTGCCTTGGCTGCAAACAATCAGAATATGACTTCCACTTGGTTAAAAGTGTTCCTTTGATACTAAGTGTTATTACTATGTGAGCTATGAAAAATAAAAACAAATTTGATTTACAACCAGCAAAACGTCTAGGGTTTTCTCTCACCTGCTAAGAAAATGTTATTTTGAATGTAATGACTGGTGTGTTAGAATGAGAGCATACAGGTAACCGAACATTATCAACATCTGAACAACCGGTCAATATGGCCTCAATCAAACTACATCTAGGAAACTATAACAATCTACTTGCAAAACTACAAGTAACAATAGTTCCTCTGGTTTAGATTTAATGATCCTCATGCAAGAAGCAAACATATGAACAAATTCATTATTAAATTGCTTGTATGAGTGATTTAGAAAAGTCACATCGAGTCTTGTACAATCAGTCAGCTGTTATCCAAATCTAGTTTTTCACAAAATTACTACATTTTTTTTTACTTATAAGTAATTGTTGCTATTATTAGGGTATATTATTATATATAAGTTTCCTTTTTATTTTCTGATGACAGAACAATCGGTCTCTACACCTGCAACTGGCATGTTGGTATCCAAAGGACACTGATTTAATTTGATGCAATTTTTTTTGTAAAATGCTGCTATTATGCTGCTATTGAAATAAAATGCAACAAAAAATAGAAAGTTCAGCAACATGTTGCTGCTTGAGACTATTCTAAAGGTAAGACATGCATTCAATTCACTTCATGGCTCTGAAATGGATTCGATATCTCACTACATGTGGAATGTTAGACTTAGATTTATTTTCTCATTTTGTATACACGAGTGTTAACAAAAATGTATTTCATTTAGAACAGCTGTAGATAGTTTTATATTTTAAAGTGCAGCCTAATGCACCATTTTGTAAACTATTATTATCCACAAACTATTTCAGTCACTTCCCTCTGCGGTCCACCAGGACCAAAACCTTACGCCACAAGAAGTTTCTTCCCATCTGCTACCAGCCTTATCGACAAGGCCCAGGGACCCCTATGACACCGACACCGTCTTTCTCCCTCCCTCCGTTCAGGACCTAGAAGCTAAACCAACGTAGCATCTCCAGACCTCCTGCATTACATTAACACACAGTCGACTGTGTACATAGCTATATACTATATATTGCATATAGTATATTTTATACAGCTATAGATTATAAATTCTGTATACCGGTATATATTTTGTGTGCACTGTCAACACCAAGTCAAATTCCTTGAAAGTGCAAACCTACTTACTCAAACTTGATTCTGTGGAATCAAACAAGCCTGCTAAAATAAACACGTGAACAAGTCAAAATGGGGTCAGTGGTCCAAAGTTTTATTTCATGATAGACAAATTCAAAAAACTATCGCATCACCTTTAAGTTAACAGCAGGCTCTCTCTTCTTTTCAGGCTTTATAATATCTAATTCACCTGGCACGTAGTTTTAGCACATGAAAAACAAACTTCCCCACTATACAGCAGTGAAGTTTTGCACTCAGCCTTCTGCATGGCTGATGTTCAGAGAATGACGTTTATTATCAAGACAAACCAACAACAGTAGTAAAATCCCCATTCTGGGGCTAAAGCTTTATAGTGTCCACATAGCCGGCACAGTGGTTTCTAAAACATTTCTCATCAACTCACTTTCCACTAAAATGAACCAAACAAATGAAACTTCACTCATTATTGTTGGAGCTTTGCATCCCGACATGTTCAACCAGAGCACCGTCACAGACTAGATGGATCCAATGAGTAGATTATAACAACACAAATGTATCACAGATAAATCAGAAAGATATGTACTAGCAGGTGGTTTGTTTTGTTGATGAACATGTTTCATAAAAGACGCTGGCTCAGGGTTGGCTTTGGATGCGTCTGCGCAGCTCCTGGGCCTTATCCCTCAGCTCAGGGCGGCTGTCGGACTGCAGCGTTGACAGCGAGCGCTGCAGCTGCTCCCGGCTCCTTGCAGACATGCAGTCCCACTGCTCGCTCTCTGTTCGTATAAAAAAAAAAAACAGTTACAAATTAGCTGCCTGTAACAATGAGCCATTGTTACCTGTATATTGGCCAAAGTAGCAGCTAAACACTGCATCTGGTTTTCTGCATTGGTTTATTTTTGTTGTTTTGGGTGAAGTGGATTTGTTTGGGTTGTGGTTCTTTGGTTGGCCATTTTTGTAAATTGGTAAATTGATTTCACTTTACAATATTTTGTTTTTAACTATTCATAAAAGGGAAATTCATGGATTAAGGAGTTAAAATATTGTGAAATATCTCTGCTGTTTCACTCTCCGAAGCAGGTGTGTACAGGACTGCACCATTGGATAATTGAAGGGGGGGGAGGCTGATCTGATGTTGGTGTTTTCTTTATTGAGTTTGAGTATTTGTTTGGATTGAATTAAAATATTTGTTTTCTATATTTATTGGTAAAAGTATTTTCTTTATTAGTTTGTTTAAACCAAATTTTCCTTTTCTTCTTATTGTGAAGCTGAACATCCTTTTAAAAATGGTTTCTTCCAATTTAGTTCCTCCTCTATATAAGAAACATGTCTGCTATTGTTCTTAGTGTGGTTTGGTTGATGTCCTGCACCAGGAAATTTTTTTTAAGTTTTGTCAGCTGAAAACTCTTGAGAGCATGAACTTCTTTCAACCAGTTTGGGTCCCACCTCCAAGACTGCTTGGCCTCCTGACAAGCGTGTGACACGGCCACATACAGTGACTTGCAAAAGTATTCATACCCTCTGAACTTTTGCACATATTGTCACATTACAACCACAAATATAAATGGATTCTATTGAAACCTTATGTAATTATACCCTTATGACACAGTTTGATTTTTGAAAACTTATAAGAATATTCCATGCAACAGCACTATGCATCATGGAATTATCTTTGATCAGATGCCTGTACCATTTACAACTAAATAGCTCACAATGATCAGGGTATGACACCAGTCTGTCCCGCTAGATTAGTAGTTTGTTCTTCTATTACAAATGAGCAAAAGTTGGTTAAAAAACCAATGCAATCACAGTATTTCCATTAAATTTGCACATTAATACGTTTGTTTACAAGTTAACTATATGGCATTGCAACATGGCTTGGGATGGCAGTTTTGCAAAGTATAATAATTTCAATGTGGCAGAAAAAAAAACCCCATCAAGAGTAAAATCTCTCTCAAAAAATATGTTTGTTGTTTTTAAAATAGCACTGTCTTTTTTTTTGCTTAATTTTAACTTACTTTAACTTAATACTTTTTTGCCCTGTAAGCTGCTGGTAACCTTAATTTCCGGAGGGAGTCTTCCCAAGGGATCAATAAAGTACTCACTAAGTCTAAGTGTCCATTTTGCAAATTTATTTTCTTAATTACAGTCTGTGTAATATGATGGTTTATGGAAATGCAGCTGATGAATCTAATGTAGAAAAAGGAGAGTTCATAAGGGACTCCCTGTTTTCAGGTTTAGATCACATTCATGGGAAAAGTGACATATGCAAATTTTAGGCCCTGCTTTGTGCTTAATCAAGCTTTACAAATGAGACCCCGGAGCAGCAATCCAACAATCTTACCTCCTGTTCTCTTAACGATCAGATCCACAACAGATAAGGCCTCTGTCCTCACTGAGGAGTAGCTTTTATTTTCTGAAGAGAAAGTGAAACATAAAGAGGCTGTGAAATACGGGAACATCAGGTTTTCATTAAAGCCAACAGATATCGAATGGTTTCCATACCTAAAGGATATGTGAGAGCAGTACAGGCTTCAGTGAGGATCTGTGATAGTGCATTCATCTCCCCGTTACCCTTCTCAAGCAACAACAAACTACACGGATGAAAAAATTTAATAAAAATCAGTTTTTAGGCTCCAGAATAATTCAACACTGAAGACTTTCAGAATAAAACATGTACTGTTTTTGGTTTCTAACCCTTCAAAATATGCCTTCATGGCCTGAAGAACAGCCAGCTGCACCTTCCATGTGCTCAGTTTAAGCTTCCCAGACATCAGGGTGCACAGATCGGACTGGAAATGGGCTGCAAACATGGAGAAGATTCAGCATCTTCAGTTCAGCTTCATGGGAATCCAATAAGGAGAACAGATATGGCTACCTTGAGTTTGTGGATTTCTTGGCCATGTCTTTCCAAGTGTTTCAAAAGCACAGAGCATCGCTTCAGTTTGTAGCGCCTTATCTTTCACACCTTTATCGTCGTCATCATCATCATCATCTTCCATAGATCTGGGAGAGGCACCGCCGCTCTCTGGACAGCTCTATTATTAAAACATGGGATTAAACTTTTTTCTGAAGTCTTATTAGAAGAAGTATAGTGATAAGCATTGGAATCTAGAAATGAACCTTCTTGATCAGAGGGAAAAGGATGTCAGCCATGTCCCTGAAACGGTCCTCCTGGCTGCTTTGGAGAACGTCTCCAGCACAGCGCAGGGCAGCCATTTTGTAAACCAGGTTCTCTTTACGACATTCTTTCAACACAACATCCAGCACCTCAGGGATGGTGGGCTGGCCGCTGCAGGGCTTCCTGAGCTCCACACTGAAAGCAGAAGAGGAGCAAATAAAAAAAAAGTACCAGTTTTTACTCCACAGATAAAATGTGTCAGTACAACTTTTATACAACTTTAAACATCAAAATTGCTTTTCCTTTTTTCTGACTAGATTTTTAAAATTGATTTATTTATACTTGTATAAATAAAGGCTGCTATTGATAAATTAATACTCTTTAAATTAAACGTCACCATGAAGTCAAACTAAATAAAAGTTTAAAAAGACATTTTATCTTATTCTATTTCAAGATTGATTTATTTACTTCCAGATTTATTTATTTATTTATTTCGCAGAGTTTAATATTTTTGATACTTTTAGTTTGTAAAGCTACTTTATAGAGTGGCTTTTATTTTTTAACTACGTTTTCTGTTTTTATCTTATGTTCTATATTGAAAGTGACAGTGTTTTATCTCTGCGGAGGCGAGGTCGCTGATTGAGAGGAAAACAGGAACTAGCTTGCAAAATAACGAACAGGAGAAGAAGCAGGAGAGGTAGAAAAGTATTGAAGACAATTTTTTGGCGGCCTTTTTTGCAGAATGCTTCTAATCTTTCTGAAGATCTTCAACTGATTTAAAATGTCTGAAAACAGAAGCATCCCAGACTTATTCAGAGAAGCTGATAAGAGTGGCAAACATCATGTCCATGTCCCGTACTCAGCACCCCAGCGCTGCCCCACCAGATAAACCCCGCCCCCTCATTTTAATATAAAAACATGAAATAAAAAGAGCTCACAAGTAAAACGGTCCCTGAAATATGTATAGCTTTACAAAATAAAAGGTAAAAAAAAAAGAACTAAAACTAAATTTTAAAAGTTTAGAATGTCTTAAAATATTTTGTTTAACATCATGGCTAGATTTATTTAATAAAATATGTATTAATAATTTATCAATAGCAGTATTTATTTATTGATTTATTTCATTTTTAAAGAAACAGCTCTCCAAAGCAAAGGCTGATGGATGGTTCGGACAGAGGTAGGGATTTATCTACGCCTGCAGAAAACAGACCAAACGTCAAAGCTTGATAATAACATGGATATTTTCCTGGACTGCACAGGAGACCTGGTTAACGTTCAGCACTGACCTGCACTTGGACACCACGGATCCAATGGCTTTCAGCAGCTCCTCCTAAACAAAAAAAATAAATGATAAATAACTCTAAGCCGATTGCTGAGTTTTCTTCAAACAACAGAAGCTTCACCAACCTTTCCAGCCCATGTTCGCCCAGACAGTCCCTGCATCAAAGCCGTCAGCACCAAACCGAGGTGTGGCGCCACCAATGACCCCGTCTGTTCTTTAGCAACAGTTGCCATGGCAGCCGCACCCTGAGCTTTCATCTTCCAGGACTGAGATTGCAGGGCTTTTTGGGTGATGGTGATCAGCTCTGTCATGTAGAGCCTGATGCCCCCAAAGCTCCCTGGGATCAGTACAAAAATTTAGTTCCTAGGTTATTGTTTTGCTACATGCAAGCATCAGTTAACCGTCTTTCACATGTCATTACAGCATTGCTTATTCTAGAGGTATCAACTTTATTAATTATTCATTGGAAGCGGTATAAAAACATTTGTTTCCATTTGCTGGATCTGGATTAATCACCTGGTGATCAGTACGAATTTTTGGTCGTTAGTTATATGACTCAGCTGCTCACCTGGAACGTTCTCCTGCCACACCTCCGACCACAGGGTGGCATCATGACCCTCCCCTTTCTCCTCGTCAGGACCCGGTGCCTGATGCATGCCGAGGAAGGCCAGCGGTAGGGCCACGCCTGCGTGGGCCTTCAGCACATCTGGGCTGTAATGGCTGATGGCGTGCACTGTTAACGCACACGATGACTTGTAAACTGGTTCTGAGGGAGCAAATAACGGAGGGGGAAAAAATAAAAGATAACACGGCATAACAAACTTTTGTTTACACTTTGTCACATTACAACTTCAAACTTCGATACATTTTACTGGATTATTGTGCATTTAAAGTAACAGGAGCGTTTGTATTTGATTAGTTCCTTTTATTTGGCCATTATCACAAATAACTATTGCTTTGATATATTAATCCCATTCCACTCCATCACCTCCATATAAAGCTTAGGCTTTATGTGGAGGTGAACCTCGACTCCATTCTCAATTCTTTTGCAGCATCTTACAGGTTTCCCTGCAGGAAAAACCAAATATCCTGCCGTGCATCTGTGTGTGTGACCTTTTACCCTGATCTTCCAGTCGTTTTCGTTGATGTTAATAAAACCATTTGTTCACTAATGATTTCTAACAAACTGCTGAAACCTTCACACAGAAGCTGGAATTATGCATTTAGTTTTAACCCTTGGTTTCATGCAGGGGTATCAGTGTGGCCTGAAATCGATATGACACTATAACAATTTTATATTTATATGATGATAGTTTTTCTTATTTTTTTTTACATCTTGCTTAAAGCTGCCTTCAGGGAGAAATATGTATATGTAGAGATACTGTAGGGAGTTTTAAAGCCTAATATAGGAAATAATAATAAAGTTCTGGAATTGGAATATCTGAATCAGCAGATATCAAATTGGATGGAAATGAAACTGCATCCAAAACTTCATAGAATTCAATTTTAAGAAAATTTAATTAAAAAAGAATCCAAAATGTCATTTAAAAATGAATGAATTAAACACAGCTTTCCAGTTCCTATTGAAATGTACTGAATTTTTTGGTTATGTGAACAAATGGGAAAAACTAAAAGAGGTATGAATAACTTTGCATATTTGCAATGTTTTATCATTTTATTACTACTTTAAACAAATATTGGTAAATGATCAGTCCCTAAGGTGAACCTATGGTTTTACTTTCCCTCGCAGACCCACCTTCTTTCTCCAAGTACCAGTTGCTGAGCTTCAGTAGTAGTTTTTCTACACTGCTGTCCTTTGCTGTCTGTGGGAAAAGAAATATTAGAATTGATAAAGTCTGTGATTAAGGCTAAGCTATGGCTTAATTATATTCCTAAAGCTTCCTGTTAACAGAGGGGCTTACCCTGACCAGGTGTCCCAAAGCAAAGGCAAAGGCTTTCTGTACCACTGTGCTTCTGTCATGAATGCCATTGAGCAGGGCACTCATCAGTTTACCTGCAGGTTAAAAGCCGTCAATTTCTTCAGCTTCAACATTTAACAGACAACAAAACGGGCGGGAGCGTTTTGTCATACCTGAGTATGGGGTTAGGTCCTGGGGGCATTGCACTGCAAGGGACACAATGACACTTGCACAGCCTCCCTAATCAAAAAGGAGACACCAAATGTTCACCAGTATAACAGATCAAATCCTGTGTAGTTCAGCAGTATCTGCTGTACGTATGTCTACATGTTTACCTTTGTTCCCAAGCCTACTCCACTTTTGAGCAGCTCACAGAGTCTGGGAACCAGTTCTCCCAGCACAGAAACATCAAGATGCTGCAGACACTAAAAGAAGACATGCATTTACAGCTTAAGCCCTCAATGATTAGTAGAAGCGATTCTACTCTGAGCATTTCATTTCGTTTTACCATGTTGACTGTCTCCATCATTGGAGAAGATTTGGCAGCACTAAGCCTTGCAGCATCCATGGCACTCTGCAAAGGAAGAGCCAACACATCTTATGAGCTCAGGCTGGACTTCAGGATAACTCACAGTCCAGACAGAGGAGGTTTACCTTTTCCTGCTCAGTGGCTCTGAGACTGAGGTAGTTGAGGACCTGCGGCTCTAGAGTGCTGAGGGCTTCCAGCAGGGCTGGAATCAACCGAGCAGCATGAGGCTTTAGCCGGGCACCTGCAGTTTTACTGATCTTCACCAATGTCTGAATACTGGAATAAATCATTAAGAAAACAATCATATAATGAGGTCCAAAGGGACAAGATCTGAATCAAATGGTTAAACTGCCTCAGTAACCAAAATGGGGCTGGATGCTGAACCAGTTCCAACAGCTGGGCAGAGCCAGAGGTGGAAGTAACTAGTTACATTTACTCATTTACAGAGATCTACAAATATCTACTTCTTGGAGTAGTTTTACTGCACTGTACTTTCATTTTTACCTCAGTTAAATGTTCGACTACTCCATCTATTGTGAAAACCAAAGTGCTCTATAAAGTTAAAGGGGAACGCCGTTTTTTTCACATTGGGCCCTTGATTTTACGTTATTACATAATTTTCTACTCACCCATATAAGCTTTGTGTCATTTGGAGCTGTTCTGAAGATATTCCGTCTTCCTATGGGCGATCGACGTGAAGGCACAAACTAAACTGTTCATAATTGATCATTTATGGTACGCCAGCATTCATAACATGTAGGGGAATCACTGTCCCCCAGACATCCACGGTTATATTTTTTATATTTATATGTTTTAAAAACAAAGCGGCGCGTGTATGACGTCATCCGCGCATGCGCACTGGAGTCGTAACAGGAAGCCCGGGCCACAGGCGGCTACACTCTACCCCTTATATTCAATAGCCTAGCTGATCTGAATCGTTCAATTCCATTTCGAGGATGAATGAATGGTAGCCGCCGTGTGCGGATGACGTCCTACACGCACCGGCTACCACTGATTCATCCTGTCCGCTGAACTGCTGCTAGTTTTACTCACGTGCTGCTCCAAATGACACAAAACTAATATGGGTGAGTAGAACATGATGTAATAACGTAAAATCAAGGGCCCAATGTAAAAAAAAACAGCGTTCCCCTTTAATGATTAAGTCAAAATCAGGGCTCTTTTTTTGTACATAAGTGAACTTTAACCTACTGTGACATCAAGCTAATACACAGAACAGAGGAAATATTTCCACTACAGGTACTGATCTTTATAAGTTTTATGTTAAGAAGAAAATCGTTTAGGAGTGTTTGTTCTGCCAATAATATTAATTTATTAGTTACATCATTTGTTTTAACTATTCTATAATAGTCTTTAAAAAAACAGAATAAACATAACTTTACATTTTGGTTTCTTTATTACAGGATTTTAAACATCATATTATGATGAGTTACTCAGTACTTGAATAGCCTTTTTACCAAATACTTTTTTACAAGAGTAATTTTCTTGATAACTATAAGTGACTAACTTGAGTAAAAATATAGTATTGCAGCTCCGTAGCAAACAACTTTTCCGACCAGAACAGGGTGTCACTGTTTGGACTGAGCTTACATTTAAGTTGGTGTGTAGATGCATCTTTACCTGAGAGAGCGAACCTCGGAGACGTTACTAACGATGCCCTTTTCCAGCAGGGTGGGTAACATCACAGCCACAGTTTTCTGAGCTGCAGAGCCGGTAGACTCACACATACGAATGCACACCTACACACAAACCCACAAGCTTAAAATAGCCTACTTCTACTTGCACAGTTTACACAATATATCAACCATTGCTCTGACACGTCACATTACCTTACTGAGCGTTTTCAGTGTCAAGTCTGCAGCTTTTCGTACAGATTCCTAAAATAAATCATATCAAAACTGGTCAGGTAGAGATTAATCGTTAAAATCTTGGTGTTCAGGCACCATTTCTTTCTGTTAACTTTCTTCTGACCTTAATGTCATCCAGGACTCTGAAGAGTGTCTCCCAAATCTCTGCTAGATAATCAATGAGGTTGTCAGCCTGACGGCCTCTGATCAAGTCGTTGAGGGCTAGACAGCTGCAAAAGAAACCCAGCGATTTAAAATCTCATTCCTGCTAAAGATCATGTTAAATGAGACGGCATTGTACCTGGACTCGCGCACCCTCCAGATGTTATTGGTCAGGTTGGAGATGACGTCCTGCAGGATTTCCTTCAAATATTTATCCACCTGCGCAGACAGACACACAAAAAAAAATTATCTCTGTTGCTTCCATCACACCCACCTCAACATTTGTCTCCATCATCTTAGTGTACAGAACCATTGATCCTTACTAGGGTTTTATCAGTGACCAACGCATCCCAGATGCTAGTCATAGCCTGGCGAACGCTCAGGTTTGGGTCAAACTGGTAGCGGTACAGGCGAGGCACTAACTGTGGCAGGAAGGGAGCAAGCTGCTCCCCCGCCTTGGCAGCGATCATGTGGAAACCAAAAGCTGCTCCCTAAAAACAAATAAAACAAAAAAGCTTGATCACATCAGGAAGAGGAAGAAAACCTGGCAGAAATGGTGGCTGTTAGCGAGAATTCACCTTGCGCGAGTTCCACATGGCATGGTGGTTCGCCAAGTTCATGAATTTGTAGACCAGATCCGGCTGGTTCAGGTCACTAGCCAATGAGCAGAGCTCCTTATAAGTGGACAAGCTTTGGCTGTTAGAAAATAACAGGTTGATTTAATGAGGGGAAATACAACACTGGTTTCAACTCAAATTATGCACAAAATCTTAGAATCAACATTTTAAAAACCATTAAATCAAAAACTGAAAAATGTGCATCTACTAAATGTAACAAACCCACCCATCAGGTGTTTTTCCCAAACTCTCTCCTTGAAACACCTCGGTATCCTCAGAGACTGCATGTTTCACCCTGTTTGCACAGAATAATCAACTTTAAACAAGCTCTTATACATTTGATCTTCAATTACGGCTTTCTTCAATCATCACCTCACCTCTTTCCAGTCATAAGTGTTTCCACCAGTGTGGACACCAGCTCCTGCTGATCGGCCTCACCCCCCATCTCATAAACGAGCCCAAGACCTTTAGATGCAACATCCTGACTCAGCTCTGAATGGAAAGAAAGAGACGGATGGATGAGGGAGAGGAATGGTTGTTGTTTGTTGTTGTAAAGTCAGAAAGATGAAGCTTACCGTCGGGATCTGAGAGAACAGAGATGAAGGCTACCTGGATCTCCTTCAGATGGGTCTGTAGAGCAAAGGAAGAGGGGCAAACATTTGAAGCTTGTGTCCATGCATAGAAGACGATAACCCTGCAGGTGTTTTTTATACATACAGTGATTTCTTTGTGGTGGCTCAGTTTTTTGACGAGTGACAGCAGCCAGATGCAGGCCGCCTGCCTCACATGAGGGTTCTGGCTGGGAATATACCTGGACAGGATGGAGTTCAGCACCCAAGGGACCACATCGTTGCTTTTAACATCTGGAAAAGGTTTGGAAAGAACGGAAATATAACAAACTAAGAGGCAGTGAATAATGACATTGGTTGTGTTCAAGCAACCAAAGTTAGTTTAGAGAAAAAGAAGTTCATTTAATGTGCATTTTTTTGTTAAAAAGAAAAATGTTAATGCATTCAGTGTAACACATCTGTAAGCACTCACTGTGTTGTGGGCTGTACTGGTCCTCTGTGCAGGTCCATGGGTCCCGGGCGGCTCCAGAGCAGGTTCCTATAGCGGCGCTGGTGATGGCTTCTCCAACTGTGAACTGCAGCTCTACCTGCTTTGCCTGCAAGATATAAATGTAATTAAACTATTGGGTCCCTTCATAGAGGGTTCAGTAGAACCAGATACAGGTATGACTGACGTCTATTAGTTAAAATCACTTTTCAGCTGCAGCTTTATAGACAAATAAATCAGTTTGGATATCTCAAAGTTTTTAAAATCCAGTTTTCCAGACCTTTTTTGTTATATTTAAGCTGTCCGTTTACTAGCTAAAGTGGTAGTTTTGAAGATGATATGAGAGAAGTGTACGTTTGATCTGTAAAGATGAGAGGCACGTTTACATTTTTAATCCAAAGTGGGTTTAAGATGAGAAAGAAAAACATGGAGGCCCCGGATTCACAGAAACAGGACAAGTTCCACTCGTTTTATTTCAAACGTGGTGTAAAAAGCAGAATATCTGCATGTTAGGCTTTATCCAAGACCAGCTCAGCATTCCTTTAGAACCCATTGAAATGTGTTCTTCTCTAGTCAAGTTAAAAGTCAGCTCTCTTGATATTTTAAAAGCATGTCCTGTGGACGCCCAATGCGGCTGTTATTCAATTCAATTCAGTTTATTTATATAGCGCCAAATTCACAACACATGTCATCTCAAGGCACTTTACAGTTCAACCAGATCATACAGTCAAATTCAGCATGTTTCCTACCTCCACCGAGTCCATCAAGCCCTGCAGCAGCTTCTTCTGATGTGGGAAGTCTGCGTCTCCCACTGGAAGATAACCCAGGGTTGTAATGGAGCGCTCCTTCATCTGGAAAGCATGAAAATAGCACAGTTTATTCTATGAGCGTAACGCGGCAGCCAATCGGAGATACTGGAGCTCACAGTTCACCTTTAAGCTCTCTTTGCCAGAAGTGATGCGAGCCAGCAGGTTCTCCACGATGGACAGTTTGGTCAAGCCCTCTCCCTCTGCAGGGATCAGCAGGGGGCCATTCCGCCCGATCTCTCCCAGAGAGGTGCAGGCTGCTACGGCCAACATGGCGCTGCTGCTGTCCAGGAAGGAGCCTGGGTGAAAATACAAGCATTCAGTTGACTGAAGAACACATCAAAGATTATACAACAATGCTTCTGCAGCAAAAAGAACATTAAATGTTACAAATAAGAAATACTTTTAACTGTACTTCAATAAAATTTACAAGGAAAACATTTATTTAAAAGTAAAAACATACCAATTGTCTTAGTCGCCAAGGAAACTAGCTTGTCATCATCCTGGGAAGTGATGCTCCTCTCTTCCTCCGTGGCTTTCTTTCTGCTCAGATTCCTTCCCACCATGTAACCCAGAGCCAAGATGGCGCCATGCTGAGTCTCAGGCCTCTGAGGTACAACCCAGAAAACAAACGTTAACACTGGATAAATGACCAAAGCTTGAAGAGCCAATAAACATGAGACAGCACAGCATACATGGTTGTCTTTAGTGATTTTGACCAGATTCTGAACGGCTGTCTGCAGCTCATTGCCAGTCATGGTGGAGATCACCACGGCATACAGCTGGGCGGCGAGTTCCCTCATGTCCTCCTTATTTGTGTTCATCAAACTCTTAAAAGAACAATAAAAACAAAACATGTGATTACAGCCAGTTTGGCAAACAGAAAAACTCAAATTACAGGTCTGATTCGTGAAAAGAACCGTTGGATGAACTTAAAAGTAACATGGATGTGATAAAACTCACTTTAATCCAGTCGATTTTATCAGCAAATCTGGGGGCGAGTTTGTCTGGGCAGACAGAGACCACCTCTAGTAAACAGTACATGACTGGGATTCCTGTGGGGGGGGGGTTAGATGTGAATGAACTTAATTTTTCTCCAACTTAACCAATTCAAAAATATAAAACGTTATATTTAGCCGATACCAGATTAAAGTCTTAAAAAAGAAGACAATGAAAGATGTAGAGCAGAAAATCCAGAAATTATTATTAATATAACTTATTAATCTGGCAAAAACATAAAAATAAACATGTTTTTTTCCACGTCTTTGCTTTTAACATCTGGAAAAGGTTGGAAAGAACGGAAATATAACAAACTAAGAGGCAGTGAACAATGACATTGGTTGTGTTTAAGGAACATTTTCTAACATAGAATAGCTGTGGAGTGGATAATGTATAGAAGGAAAAACAGGAAGTAATTTTGGTATGAATAACACCTTTCATTACCCATCCTAGTCCTAAACAAATATCTCACCTCCCACAGCAGAGAGAAGCTGCTGCAGAAGATCCATATAAACATGTACAGGATTCGCCTCCAGGCCCTTTGGCACAGGTTCAGCTGAGAGCAGAGAGTGGACATAGCGCCCGATAGCAGGAGCATCGTCCTGCATGTCCAACAAGCGGGTGGACATTGGCCTGGCACCGGCACTGTGAGCCAGACACATCCTCAGGTACAACATGATCTAAAAAGAGCACAAGAAATGCTGTAAGAAGACAACTCCAATGGTTTTTCCCACTGACAGTTAAAAAACTTTATTATGATTTACCTCTCCAAACGCAGATGGGTTAAATGGAATTGTGGAGGTTCCCACAATATACTTTGCAGGGGTTTTAATCCTCTGAGCTGCCTGTGAAAAATACAAGAGTACAGAGAGTCACTGGCATTTAATTCTAGGGGTGTTTGTAGGACGGGCTGAGACCCACTTTTTCCTGGATGTAGGAGACCATGTCATTGAAGGACGGCATTGGCTTTGATCCCTCCTTCTCAGAGTTCTTTGAAGGAAAACCCCTCAGCACCCTTTGGGCCTCTGCAGACACTTCCTCCCTCCTACAACACAGAGAATAAATCAATCTTACAGAGCACCAAAATAAACCAGACACACTCATTTCAATCTATCCAGTAACTTTCTCCGAGTTCTAAATAGTTCCATAAAATACATTGTGATTGTTTGAACTTACGGGTCTCCAGCAGCTAACAGCAGCAGGTATCTGGATGGGACGTGGTCTGGAGCAAACACCGTACTGGCAAACTTCATGGCCACCTGCCGAACCTGCACCTCCGGCTGTAGCAGAACAACAAGCGGCAATTTTTAGCTTACTAAACTAACTGATTCCAACCCCCTTCTATTCTTGTTGAGGTATACTTACCTTTGAAATGTATGCAGCCACCAGGGCTTCCATTAGGTTCAGCAGAGCGCCCTGCAGGTTTGCATAAGCTCCTACCATCATGGATAAAGCTTCTTGAATGGCGAGGCGAACATCTGGCTCCTCCTGTGAGAGCAGGTATACGATCAAACAAAAGTCCTAAAGAGTTTATCTCCGACTTTTACTAAATGTATTCAACTAACCTTACACATGGACTCAAAAAACTGCTGCACAAGAGCAATGTCCTTTGTGAAAAGCTGAGGCATGCGACTGAAACAAATAACATAAATCATTTTTATTTTGCTTGATTTTAAATAGCGGTAAAATTACGGGAGGTTAGTTATACCTGGAGAGCTTTCCAACAGCAGAGTAGGCAACACACAATAACTTAGGATCCTGCAAAGAGATGCAACAGAATGAAACTTAAGCGGATGACTGGAATAGTGAACATGTAGCAGAAAAGATTCATCTGAAGAGGCACCAATTGTGCTTTGAAAAGGTCAGCTGACTTTTCTGCTAATTTATAAGTTTAAATAGTCTAATCTTCAATTATTTGTTCAGTTCTAAATATAAAGTTTTAGTTAGTGATGTTTAATACCAACTACACTCCCTTTCTCTCACATAGTGTGACGTTACCTCTGCTTTTAATAGCAGCAGACTGACAAAAAGTTTTTTCCCCCCAAAGCTTTCTGTGCAGCTGCAATAAATAGATAAATGAATGAATGACTTCAAGGGTCATAAATGTAAATTAGAGCTTTTTGCTTTAAAATACCAGCCAGTTATGAAAAAAAAATATATAATACAATTTTATATTTTCAGATGTGCAAAAAAAGCAAAGGAGATATAATCCATATGTAATGAAAATAGTTTGTTTAGTTATCTGTGCACCCAGAACTAGAAATCAAATAGAGCAACAGCATTTAGTTCTTTGTTTGCTGCATTATCTGGAAAAGACTCTGAGGAAAATTGTAAAAGTGCTGAAAGCCCGACTTCTCTTAAGTCAAAGTTAAAACTGTCTTTGACCGGTAAACTGTTAACTGAGATATTATTAGTTCAGATTTGTTGTACAGCTGTTTCATTTTTTTTGTTTTGTTTTACTACCTGCCTCTATCATGTTTATCTATATTTGCCTTTATTTTCCTTATATTTTATTTCCTAATTAATGTAAAGCACTTAATTTGTCTTTGTAATCAATTGTGCTATATAAAAAAAACATGCCTTACTTTTGCTTCCTATTTGCTAATATAGCCCTTTGTGAGGAAAATTAGAGTTTTAGGTTAATTCAAATATTTGAAGACATTTTAGTGAGGAAAAATAGTTTCCTTGCTGTTAACATTAGTTTTAAATAAGGAATGATAACAGCTTAAATGCTGGTATTGAAATACCTCTTTATATTCATTGATGAGCTTAGTCAGACCATTGAGCAGCATTAGTCCTAAAGGCTTGTTGGTGTCGGGGCAACTGTAGGACAAAAACAACCATTAGCCTTGATTTTGTTTTTTGAAATGGGAGAAAACAGGTCAGGGGCTCAGAGATAAAGCGTAGCTGTCTTACACCATGCAGATATGATGGACAAACTGTAATGTGAGAGACAACAGTTTGTTGTTGGTGTTGGCCCCAAAAAGACCGTCATAAACAACCTGCAGCGAAAAGCAAATCAGTAAAGACATTATTACATCTGACAGAAAATATGAAAACCAGTGCAAAGACAGTGACAGACTTTCTAAAAGCTGAAAGAGTGGATATAACCTGGATGTTGGCTGGGAAGCACTCTGCTGCCAGGCGAGAGCGTAGAAGATGTGGCAGGATCTTTAGTTTGACTCTAGTACTCACTGGTTCATGTTTTAGCTCCTGTTTGATATTCCCACCCTGCACAAGACAAAGGAATATTATTATACCTTATTGTTTTTGTACTGACATCTTTAATTTCTCTTCCAGGAAAGCTTACAAACCTTTGATTTAAGAGGAACATCTCCCAGATAAACCTTAAACAGCTTGTTGATAATAAGAGGATTGTTCCAGTCAATGATGCTGGAATAAAAAAACAAGAAATCAGGAAATACATAAAACTAACTTTTTCATGTGTAAACAGATCCATCTTATTTACATCAGAAACCAACAGGAAACAGAAGGTAACCATTTTAATTCCTTAATTTTTCCGTTTCTTTACAGTCTACCTCTGTTTGCTCCTCAGCTCCAGGTCGGCTGCTGTGGCCACACTGTGTCTGGTGTCACTTGAAGCTACTGCCAAATGAACCACCGACTCCACCTCAGGCACCTGTTTGGTCTCGATGAATTTCACTATGCCCAGCTTACACTGTTGAACAACAAAATGAGTTAGACAGAAAGTCCATGGTTCAGATAAATCTATGGTTGACTTAAACTGGTAGTGTCTGATATCTGTGGGGCAACAGTGATCTACGAGTCAACCCATCAGGAAGCCTAATGTAACGACAATATATATATATATATATATATATATATATATATATATATATATATATATATATAAATAATGGACCCAAATATGAACATGTACTAAAAACAACAACAAAAAAATTACATCAGACCCAACTTTTTTTTTTTAGGTAAGTTAAAACTACAAAAATGTACTGTATTTTCCGGACTATGGAGGGCACCTCACTCAAAGCCGTGCCCCCTAAATTTCTTTGGGGAAAGAAATGGAAACATACATATATAAGCCGCTGATATCTACTGAACTGTCTACCAGGAAACCTGTAGGGGGAGCTCTACATGAAGCCCCTAGAGTAGCGATGAAAAACAATTCTAGATCCAGTTAGCTTGTTAGCTCGCAGCAGTAAGAGCTTCTGCTGAAAGATGGGGCTTCATCATCTCTTTATTTCAGCTCTGCAGGAGTTGAGGCCAGTCTCTTCATTGGTTCGGCAGCTTTTATGCGGCAAATAAATGTGAAAATGTGTGAATTCAGGGCATTCGTTCTCCACTTAGCCTTTTGCTAGCATGTTTTTTTCCTTAAACGAATATTAGCCCCTCATATTTATTTCCAACTTTGACTTCCCCCTCTGGCGGTTCAGAAAGATCCAAAGGAAAGGCGCACCTTTCTATAAGCCGCATGGTTCAAAGCTTGGGGAAAAAGTAGCGGCATATAGACCAGAAAAATACAATATTTTTTATTTTCTATATGAAAGAATGTTAGAGGAAGATCTTAACCATTATCATCATCAACACGATCAACTGTACTTGGGGACACTTCACTAACAATTGTATGGCCTCCTCCAAACATTATATCCTTCCAAAACCTTCTCACAGTATAGTTTTATGAAATCCACTTTTATTCTTTTGGTGTAAATGAGTCAGGTTTTTAGACCAGGTTTGTCAGAAAAAAAAAATTTTCTGCAGCACTGAAATCAGGGTTTTGAAATCAGCTTTGTTGCTCTTAGGCCTCTTTCTAATTAATCTGCTTGTGTGGTTAGACTCACTGTCCATCAGGAATCCCATTTGTTTCCTGAACGCTATGATGGCTGGACAGGTCAATGCAATACTGAATATAACTGTCGTGGCATGCTAAAGGGTCTTTGTCGACCCTTTCTTTGGCAAATATTTTGCTTCCACTGTGAACAAATTCTCTGCTCAGGCAGAGCAAATGTGATGCTTTGAGTGAGTTATCGTACCTGTTCCAGCTGCTCTGCGTTCCACTGGGCTTCTCCAATCACCCTCTTCGCAGCATAGACACTCAGCCCTGGGGGAGGCTGGGGAAGACCCTGTCCACCTCCAGCACCCGCCCCATCCGATGAACCTCCCTGGGAGGAGGATGGAGCGGGCCGAGTGGGAGACTCGCTCAGCACAAACCTAATGATAAGTAAGTAAGAGAGAAAGAAATAAAGAGAAACAGAGAGTGAAAGAGAAATTCAGACAGACATAAGTGAAACAATCCTTTCCAAACCTCAATTTTCACTCGCGTGTTTCTTTTGACAAATCAACAAGAGGTAACTCACCCATAAGGCATGAGCAAAACATCCAGCATGAATTCCAGTAAAAGGTGCATCGTCTTTGGCCTCTCGGTTAAGTTAAATGGAGACAAACCTTTGGATGCGTCAGCTGAATACTTCATGTGGTAAAGCGTTGGGATCAACAGGTGCATGAGGCTGAAAAAATAATATGGAGAAGAAACTTAAGAGCCAGACCTCTGTGTAAAAATGTGATAACATCAAACTTTCACGATGCACATTTTCTTACTATAGATAAAAAGCTGCAATAACCTGCTGTCTTAAGTGAACACTTTAATGGATAGAGTTATGCAGCATTCTTCATCTGATCTATTCTAACTTTTAAAGGTTCTTTCCAAATCTGTCAGATTGAGAGGACATTTCTGGTCCACAGCTCTATTAAGCTAATCAGGGATTCAGATCTGGACTTGAAGTAGCCCATAATGCACATAAGTCATTGTTTCGGATGAACTGTGACATTGAAAATGTTTTGCAAGTCTTAATCTGAATGTTTCTTTGACTGAGTCAACACTGATATTTGGAGCAGTTCATATTTTTATACATTTGGAGAAAAACAAAAATGATGATGTCATGATTCAGTGTGTACGTGCAGATCCTTTTGAGACGCACGCTGCTGATGTTGACCCGATTCTGTTTTTTGCTTCAGGCCTCCAACCCAGTTCCTCTTCTCTTTTCATTCATTTTAAATAACCTTCCAGTTTTAAAATGTAAAAGGTGTCCCATATTTTCCTTTAATATTAAAATATAAATAACAAGATTTACCCTGAAAGTCTGTCTCTTTTTTTTAACGACATTTGCAGCCTCTCTACAAACTAAGGTTAGCACTGACAGATGTTAATGTCAGTAAAAACCAACCGGCATCACTGAACTTTCCTCCAGATTGATTAGATTAGCTACAATGCACGGCCAGTGTGTTTTTAGGTCGACTAAAATGCAAAAAATTAAATCAAAATGTATTAGCTTAATGTTCGACTATACATAAACATGCACTTTCCCATTGACAGTTTTTCTCTTGTTGCTATGTTCGGGATACTCAGCATTTAAAGTTCTGACATGATTTTTCATTCTCTCATCACAACAAGCCAGCATTTGTAACTGAGGTGGGTACGACTTGATGATCCACTCTAGAAGGTAGGAGTCGTCCACTAGATTGGTATGTGAGGATAAGTGTTCCCTCACCTGTCCTGTTGTGGCTTGGGCTTGCCCTCCATGGCAGTGATGAGGGTCGGGGCCAGCTCACATTGTTTTGCCACCTCTAGCCGAGGGTAGCCCATTTTAATGTAGATTATGGTGAAATTCTGTAAAAAGTAATAGATAAATAAGTTTATTTACACCATAAACATTTCTTTTTAACTCAAATTGTACTAAGCAAAATCAATAACCCTACATCTAGAATACAAAATCTAAAACAACATAATCTACAATACAGCAGAGGTTCCCAAAATGGGGGTCAGAACCCCTCATGGGGTGAAGAGACACTAAAGCCTCTTTCCCACTGAAAAAAACTGGGTTTTTCAAAACCGGGTTGAACCGTTAACATCCGTTTTTTTGCTCTTTTAGCATTTGACCTAAAAACCAAGTCTGACCACCTGCTGATGGGCTGCGTGGCCACTGTCCCCCACACCACTGAGCGTCTGATGACGGCATCACGCCGGGCGAGCAACAGTGCGTCAGAATTCAGAAGGTAAATAATGGAGAGCAACATGGACGAGAGCCAGAGCTTATTCAGTATTCCTTATTTTTCAGTTGCATGTTCATCGGATATAAACAGAGTTGTTTCGGCTTGTTAGACGGCAGTGTGTTGAGGTGGGTGCGTTGCGTTCAATGGTGTCACGCAGTTTATTGGGTCAACTCTGCTCTGATGTTCCCACTGCATGCCGATTAGAGCTGAGGGTCGCTTGCTGAGTTGTTTCACCCGGGTAGACACGTGTCAGTGAGCTGTTCCTGCTGCCACTAAAAGCCGATTGTTCCCGGGTTTTTCAGTCAGTGTGAAAAGGGTACAAATGTGTCGGGGGGTAGGGACACAAATGTCACAAATGTGCGCAAAACAATGTCAACATTCTGCCAAATTTAAGAATGCTAATTTTTGCAAATGCTGAGTTAAAATTGCAGGTGATTACAGATGTTCACGTGATAACTTTGAAAACAATTATACCGTGGCGGACATAAACACTGAGATGTTTCCATATTTCAGCGACGGCTTAGGTGCTCATCATATATGTACGGTGATCATCAAGTCTGATGCAAAAAAGAGTTTCCATTGCAGTTTTGCGAACATAAAATAATTTCAATAGATCCATAAAACCACCGCATCAAAGCGTAAAAAAAAAAAAAAAAAACATATTTCCATTTAGTAAAATTCTTTTCATAATGTAAAATTTGTTCAACTTGATTATAAATGGAAACACAGCTGCTGTGATATGATGCCTGAGGTAGATGGAGGGCCCAAATATATAATGAAAGTCAGAAATGTGATGGGGAGTCATACATTCACTTTAACGTATTAGATAACACTGACCCTCTGAGTATTTGCTCATTTAAAGAGTGATTAAAGTCAACATGAACAACAAACAGCTGATCTCAGAAGGCAAACTGTCATTTCTATCTTACTGTAACAAAAGAAGCAGCAGCAGGATCCTGGTACTGCACCAGCAGCGTCTCCACAGGAAGCTGAATCTTCGGTCTGCTTTTTATCCGCTTGTTGAGGTGAACCAACAATTCCATAACCTGGTGGAAAACACAGTTCTTTTACTTTTTCTCATTGTGTGACATTAAATCCAAATACTTCAATATATTTAATGTAATGAAGAAAGTTGGTATGCTTGTCTGATGAAAGAAAAGTGATTATCAAATTTACTGTAGAAAAATAACTCAAATATGAATTGCTATAAAAACTAACCAAAGAGGGGAAAAAAATGTTTTAAAGGTTGGGTGTCCCTCTAAAGAAAAACCTAGCGCAGCATGTGGACTTTTCCAAAATAGATAATAGGAAGATACCATGTGATTTATAATAGGAATATATTAACTGGTTGGTACTGACACAGTTCTTCTTCTTCGCTCTTAAAACAGTTTTGCTGTTTTGCCACCTGCTGCTTTATACGGGTGAAGAGCTGACCATCTGAAACTTTTCAGAGACGGAGCTTACTACTAGTACTACTGTTTTTTATACTGTTTTATTTAAAAAATAAAAGGCTTAAAGGAATAGTACACCCAAAACATGATTAGCCTTCATTTTCTACTCACCCCCATGCTGAACAACACTCTGGAGTACTTTTTTGATATCTCAAATGCATCTGGAGATCTGGGAGGCTTCTTGCTGTCTGCTGACATTCAAATAATGGAGGTCTATGGTGCCCGAGACAGAGAGGTCCATTAAAGTCCACAAAAAACGTGTCAATATTCCTCCATACTGGTCGTCCAATGTATTCCAAGTGTCCTGAGTGGGTGGCATCCAGAATTTACTCGAAACAAAGTCATTTAGAATGTTTTTAGAGCATAAACAGTAGTGTATAGGATTTCCTAAAAGCGCGTTCACGAGTCTACGGAAACCGCGGCAGACCAAACCAGATGAAAGTGCGCATTCAGCGTCTGCTCTGCCGATAATGCAAGCGTAGAAGAAGAAATGTGCTGTTTACCTGTGCAAAGAAAGAAACAACGAAAGAAAAATGTCTGAGGACTTCAGTGTTGAGGAAGAGCATGAGTTCTTTGCCGAGCTGAATGCGCACTTTCATCTGGTTTGGTCTGCCGCGGTTTCCGTAGACTCGTGAACGCGCTTTTAGGAAATCCTATACACTACTGTTTATGCTCTAAAAACATTCTAAATGACTTCGTTTCGATTAAATTCTGGATGCTACCCACTCAGGACACTTGGAATATATTGGACGAGCAGTATGGAGGAATATTGACACGTTTTTTGTGGACTTTTATGGACCTTTCTGTCTCGGGCACAATAGACCTCCATTATTTGAATGTCAGCAGACAGCAAGAAGCCTCCCAGATCTCCAGATGCATTTGAGATATCAAAAAAGTACTCCAGAGTGTTGTTCAGCATGGGGGTGAGTAGAAAATGAAGGCTAATCATGTTTTGGGTGTACTATTCCTTTAAATCTGCTGTATTCCTTCATGTTTCCATTCAAGGGGTTTAACCTCAGACATGCCTTACCACAAAGATAATCTTATTGCACAGGGTTTATACAGGAATGAGTAACTCTAATTTAATGCTTTTTAATACTCTTTTAATGCTCTTAGAAATAATTTTTAAGCCATCAACAAATACCAATGACTCATACATATATAAATAAATAGATATAGAAATAACAAGACAAAATCCTTTGTCATCTTCACCATTAACAGGTTGCAGCCATGTCCCAAATTCCTAGTTTTCCAGCCACTTTAGTTGAAATTCTCAAGATTTTTCCCTAACTCGACCTTCTTTTCTGAACATATGACTTTACGGTCAACTGCAAGCAGTTCTGCACAAGCACGCAAACAAGTTATATCTAAAATATAATATATCTGACAAAATAGTTTTTATATACTCTTCTTTTTTTAATTAAAGCATTTTAAATGCCATGATAATCACATTTAATAAATTTGAATGACACAGTCATGCAGGCGTAGTATGACTTAGATATATATATATATATATATATATATATATATATATATATATATATATATATATATATATATTTTTTTTTTTTTTTATATATACATTGTATCGGTACTTGGTATCTGCTGATACTCAGCATAAGTATCAGAATCTTGCCAGGATTCTAAAATGGTGCCTGAACATATCTTAGCCAAAACACACAGCCAGAGTGAGTGTCGATCATGGATGATAAAAGCATGTTAGTATGCTATAATATCTTTGTCAAACTCCAGAACTAAATACCATATTTGGCAAGATAACCCTTAAATCATCATAGAACCTGACTGACATTACACAAATGAAGACGTACTCAAAGCTATGATTGCAGTGAACAATGGCTCCACACAGTATTAAGCCATACTTCTCAGATTAAGTGTTTAATAAATTCTGATTTTTGAATAAATGAATAATGGTATGAACCTGTATCAGCATAATAATACTCACCTTCTTCCGCACCCCTTCTTGAACACTGGAGAGTTTCAGGAGAACAGGTGGTAGAAACTTGGAGATGATGTCCTGAAGCTGATCATCAGTCTCTGCATGACCCAAGCGAAGGAACACACGCTCCAGTTGATCTAAGGAAACACATTTTTACATCACTGGCTCACTAAATCAAGACATTGGCAGCTCTTCTTCTTCTTGTGAGGTTTTATTGTGGTTGGCAAACTAGTTTAAAGTGCATTACAGCCACCGACTGATAAGAAGTTAAACAAGGAAACAGGAAACAAGACTGGCCCCCAGAAAAAAAATAAATAAATAAAATTCAAAAATATAGATTTTCCAAACTATTTAACTTAACCCAACATAATAAATACTTAATCACATTCGTCCTCATAACTTCTAATTTATCTTTAAGTTATCTTTACTCTGCCAGTTTCTGGTGGTCCTATTGGTTTTCCCATCATGCTTTCAAATATTTCCCAGTTTAAATCTCTAACTTTAGGTTACGTTTATGCAGCTTTTACTATCATTTAGATTTTTTCGTTTTTCTTTGTTTTCTGAGCCCTACAATTCATCACTTCTACCATGAAAAGAACAAAATCTTTCTTTTCACAATCAATGAATCTTCTTCAATTTTGGGACACTGCTCCAGAGGTTTTGAACTTAACTGTTGGTTTGGGTCTTTCTGTCTGGAATGGGATCCTTTTTGACATCGGCAGCTCTATCTGCACAGTGGATTTTAATTTTTTGGATTAAACTTTAACCCTTTGAATGCATGCAACTAGAGAAACCCTCTGGGCTAAAACGCACGTCAAATTAATGGACATGTTGTCCCAATTTGTCCGATGAGCTCAACCTGTCAGCTGCTGCAATCATAGCCATGCCCTCTTTCTCCTAACTTAGCTCCCTAAACCGCTAGCAACAAATGACAAGACAGTCAACGCAGTTTATCAATTCCTTTTTTTTGGTTAGCCTACACAAGCTATTTATTTTTTCCGTCCAGTGACATCCCTCTGTGACTTTTCCAAGATGTTATAAATGATCAGGGAACCGATCTGATCACTGTAAGACTTTTGTGAATAGACATTAGTGAAGAGCAGAGAAGTTTCATTTTGACCATGACTGGGCAAACGGCCTCCTGACGTTAGCATCTCAGCTAGGAACATAATTGAGCAGCTAGCTAGCTTATTTCCAGTCCAGTTTAAAACTGAATTTGGCGTTACAATTACTTATAAAACGGACTTATTGGCTAAGCGGTGAGTAACTGGTCAGCACGTGTGGTTTTGGCAAACACAAATTATACACTGAATAATATATGAATCGCCAATAAGACAGTAAGAAACTTACTGAGTTCATCCTGGGCAGCCATGTTTGCTCTAAGTCATCACCGACCCTCCCAGTTGACAGTGTGTGGCTTCTCTGGAAAGCCAAAAGTGCCAAAAACCAATGGAGTATAATCATTTTTTTTGTATAAAAAATACATATATTATTATTTACTTCCATCTGAAATGGTTAAAAAAACTGTTTATAAATGCATTGATTATTTTATGGCAATAAATATTTTGTTACATTTTTAAATACGAATATAGAAATTTTGCGAGTAAAGTTTGGAGTTATATGATCACACCACAGAAAATATTTTACTATTGCTGTCTCTCTTTTTTATTACCTGTTCTGACACCATGACATGATTCAAACTGTCATGTCATCTATCTATCTATCTATCTATCTATCTATCTATCTATCTATCTATCTATCTATCTATCTATCTATCTATCTATCTATCTATCTATCTATCTATCTATCTATCTATCTATCTATCTATCTATCTATCTATCTATCTATCTATCTATCTATACATACATACCATATATATATATATATATATATATATATATATATATATATATATATATATATATATATATATATATATAAAACTTATATATAAGTTTCATATAAGTATTCATATAAAACTTATATATATATATATATATATATATATATACATATAAGTTTTATATATATATATATATATATATATATATATATATATATATATATATATATATATATATATATATATATATATATATAAAAACTGTTTTCTCACCCCTCGTGGGGTGATATGTGTCATCCTCAAGCTCGGGTCCTCTACCAGAGGCCTGGGAGTTTGAGGGTTCTGCGCAGTATCTTAGCTGTTCCTAGGACTGCGCTCTTCTGGACAGAGACCTCTGATGTTTTACCTGGAATCTGCTGTAGCCACTCTCCCAGTTTGGGGGTCACAGCCCCCAGTGCTCCAATTACCACTGGCACCACTGCTGCTCTTACTTTCCACATCTTTTCTAGCTCCTCCTTCAGTCCTTGGTATTTCTCAAGCTTCTCGTGTTCTTTCTTCTTGATGTTGCTGTCGCTTGGGATTGCCACATCTATCACTACTGCCTTCTTCTGCTGTTTGTCGATCAACACAATGTCTGGTTGGTTAGCCATCACCTGTTTGTCAGTCTGGATCTTGAAGTCCCATAGGGTCTTAGCTCGGTCATTCTCAACTACCTTAGGAGGTGTCTCCCATTTTGACCTTGGGACTTCCAGCCCATACTCATGGCAGATGTTCCTGTACACTATGACAGCTACCTGGTTGTGGCGTTCCATGTATGCACTTCCTGCCTGCATTTTACACCCTGCTGTTATGTGCTGTATTGTTTCAGAGGCATCTTTGCACAGTCTGCATCGGGGGTCCTGCCTGGTGTGGTAGACCCTGGCCTCTATTGATCTTGTACTATATATATATATATATATATATATATATATATATATATATAATATTATGTATACCAGTACATATATAGATTTATGTACATACATATATGTATACATACGAATATATACGTTTTTTTCAGATATATATGAAAATTTATATATATATATGAATATATATATAGTATATACAGGTGCTGGTCATAAAATTAGAATATCATGAAAAAGTAGATTGATTTCAGTAATTCCATTTAAAAAGTGAAACTTGTATATTATATTCATACATTACATACAAACTCATATATTTCAGATGTTTATTTTGTTTAATTTTGATGATTACAAATGACAACAAATGAAAATCTCAAATTCATCATATCAGAAAATTAGAATATTGTGAAAAGGTTCAAAATTGATGGCCCCTGGTGCCACACTCTAATCAGCTAATTAACTCAAACCACCTGCAAAAGCCTTTAAATGGTCTTTCAGTCTAGTTCTATAGGCTACACAATCATGGGGAAGACTGCTGACTTGACAGTTGTCCAAAAGACGACCATCGACACCTTGCACAAGGAGGGCAAGACACAAAAGGTCATCGCTAAAGAGGCTGGCTGTTCACAGAGCTCAGTGTCCAAGCACATTAATAGAGAGGCGAAGGGAAGGAAAAGATGTGATCGAAAAAAGTGTACAAGCAAGAGAGATAACCGCACCCTGGAGAGGATTGTGAAACAAAACCCATTCAAAAATGTGGGGGAGATTCACAAAGAGTGGACTGCAGCTGGAGTGAGTGCTTCAAGAACCACCACACACAGACGTATGAAAGACATGGGTTTCTGCTGTCGCATTCCTTGTGTCAAGCCACTCTTGAACCACAGACAGCGTCAGAAGCGTCTTGCCTGGGCTAAAGAGAAACAGGACTGGACTGCTGGTGAGTGGTCCAAAGTCATGTTCTCTGATGAAAGTAAATTTTGCATTTCCTTTGGAAATCAAGGTCCCAGAGTCTGGAGGAAAAGAAGAGAGGCACTTCATCCACGTTGCTTGAAGTCCAGTGTAAAGTTTCCACAGTCAGTGATGGTTTGGGGTGCCATGTCATCTGCTGGTGTTGGTCCATTGTGTTTTCTGAGGTCCAGGGTCAACGCAGCCACATACCAGGAAGTTTTAGAGCACTTCATGCTTCCTGCAGCTGACCAACTTTTTGGAGATGCAGATTTCATTTTCCAACAGGACTAGGCACCTGCACACAGTGCCAAAGCTACCAGTACCTGGTTGAAGGACCATGGTATCCCTGTTCTTAATTGGCCAGCAAACTCTCCTGACCTTAACCCCATAGAAAATCTATGGGGTATTGTGAAGAAGAAGATGCAATACACCAGACCCAACAATTCAGAAGAGCTAAAAGCCACTATTAGAGCAACCTGGGCTATCATAACACCTGAGCAGTGCCACAGACTGATCGACTCCATGCCACGCCGCATTGCTGCAGTAATACAGGCCAAAGGAGGCCCAACTAAATACTGAGTGCTGTACATGCTCATACTTTTCATGTTCATACTTTTCAGTTGGCCAACATTTCTATAAATCCTTTGTTTTTATTGGTCTTCAGTAATATTCTAATTTTCTGATATGATGAATTTGAGATTTTCATTTGTTGTCATTTGTAATCATCAAAATTAAACAAAATAAACATCTGAAATATATGAGTTTGTATGTAATGTATGAATATAATATACAAGTTTCACTTTTTAAATGGAATTACTGAAATCAATCTACTTTTTCATGATATTCTAATTTTATGACCAGCACCTGTATATAAATATATATATACCATCTATCTATCTATCTATCTATCTATCTATCTATCTATCTATCTATCTATCTATCTATCTATCTATCTATCTATCTATCTATCTATCTATCTATCTATCTATCTATCTATCTATCTGCATATATATACATATATATACATATATATACATATACATATATATGAATTAAGAAAATTTTTATATATGAAAATATATAATAATTTATTTATTTTTATATATATATATATATATATATATATATATATATATATGTGCACATACACTACAATAGAGTCAAGACATTGACAAGGTTAGAAATAATGCTTTTTTTTTTTTACATCGAACTTTGCTTTCGTCAAAGAATCCTCCACTTGCAGCAATTACAGCATTGCAGACCTTTGGCATTATAGCTGTGAATTTGTGGAGGTACTCTTTAGAAATCCATCCCACGTTTCCAGAAGCAGCTCCCACAAGTTGGATTGGTTGGATGGGCACTTCTTTGTACCATACGTTCAAGCTGCTCCCACAACAGCTCAATGGGGTTCAGATCTGGTGACTTCGCTGGTCACTCTATTACCAATAGAATACCAGCTGACAGCTTCTGCTCTAAATAGTTCTTGCACAATTTGAAGGTGCGTTTAGGGTCATTGTCCTGTGTAGGATGAAATCGGCTCCAATCAAGCGCTGTCCACTGGGTATGGCATGGCGTTGCAAAATGGAGTGATAGCCTTCCTTATTCAGAATCCCTTTTACCCTGTACAAATCTCCCACCTTACCAGCACCAAAGCAACCCCAGACCATCACATTACCCCAACCATGCTTAACAGATGGCGTCAGGCATTCTTCCAGCATCTTTTCATTTGTTCTGCGTCTCACAAACGTTCTTCTTTGTGATCTAAACACCTCAAACTTGGGTTCATCCGTCCACAACACTTTTTTCCAGTCTTCCTCTGTCCAATGTCTGTGTTCTTTTGCCCATCTTAATCTTTTTCTTTTATTGGCCAGTCTCAGATGTGGCTTTTTCTTTGCCACTCTGCGCTGAAGCCCAGAATCCTGCAGCTGCCTCTTCATTGTAGATGTTGACACTGTTGTTTTGTGGGTACTATTTAATGAAAATGCCACCTGGGGACCTGTGAGGTGTCTGTTTCTCAAACTAGAGACTCTAATGTACTTATATTCTTGCTCAGTTGTGCAACGCGGCCTCCCACTTCTTTTTCTACTCTGGTTAGAGCCTGTTTTTGCTGTCCTCTGAAGGGAGTTGTACACACTGTTGTAGGAAATCTTCAATTTCTTAGCAATTTCTCGCATGGAATAGCCTTCATTTCTAATATACTGTCGAGTTGCACATGAAAGTTCTCTTTTTGTGGCCATTTTGAGCGTTTAATTGACCCCACAAATGTGATGCTGCATAAACTCAATCTGCTCAAAGGACGGTCAGTTTTGTAGCTTCTGTAACGAGCTAAACTGTTTCCAGATGTGTGAAAATGGTTGCACAAGGGTTTTTTAATCATCAATTAGCCTTCTGAGCCAATGAGCAAACACATTGTACCATTAGAACACTGGAGTGCACATAATTTGGGCTTACAGTTCCTAAGTTATTTGCTTTTCCATTTGGTATGCAAAATAGGAGAGAATTTCCTAAATGAGGTGGATATCAAGAGGTTAAAAACACTCTGGTTAAAGTTGAAGTATCAACTTGACCTCTTCACTCAAGTAAAAGATTAAAAGCATGTGCTCCAAAAACTACTTGAAGTATAAAGTATAAAGTAACAAAAAAAAAAAAAAAAAAAAAAAAAACAGCCAGATGCTA